ATAGGTCAAACTGTTACGCCTTTGGACATGCGCCTACGCAGTACGCACACAAGAAATTCTGTGGGTATTATGTAATAAATATACCACGATTAGATATTGAGTATTGACTATGGCTTCTCTATACTAAATTGCTTCATATTATATTTAATAATAATTACTAATGACTTTTTTATACATAATTCAGATCAGACTAGAGCTGCATTCAAAGATAGAAGTCTGACGACCGGCATATGACCTTATTAGATGCGGCGCGCGGCGTAGATTTGGGGGACAAATCCTGAGGCCTGTGGTTTTAGTAGTAACAGCATCCTACTCCTGGCTCCTGCATCGTCACGATGACTTCGACAATGAGCCGGAGATTCGAAGGGAGATTCACTGGTCAATTAAAAAAGATAGATTAGTGTGATCACTTTATTGTGCACTAAGTGCCTGAACTTGTATCACCTGATGTTACAAGTGCGCACTTAAAGGAACCTGCTACCCATCTATAGTTACGCTATGCGGCAGAGTTTGGATCGCTTTGCGCATTGTACACTTATGGCAAAATAAAATGCTCACCCATTAGTTATTATTTATTTTTTCTTAATTAGAATAGAATAATAATAGATCAAAACCATAAGACGTTACGTAGTAAAGTTACTACGTAACTTCTTATATATTCTATGGTAAGAGAAAATGGTTTTAATTAAAATTTTAATTTAAAAAAACGTAAGTATTAATTTTGTTTAAGAATATTTTCCTCATGAAATTATTAGGGTGAAATAGGAGGGACAGCTTCCAACAAATCACTTTCTTATTTAAAGCTGATACTGGTACGGAGTCCATTTCTTCATCGTCGTATTGTGTTTTAAGTACATATTAGAGAATACATTACGCTATCTAATACACTCGCATAAAAATCTCTATTTTTAACTACCAGAAAATTAAATTGATGAATAGCGAAAGTAGAAATGATTAAATTGTTAATAAAAAAAGAAAGACCATAGGGTTTTTCTTTACAGTACACTACGGTACACGACCGAGCAAATTAATAGAATTTGCTCGGTCGTGTACCGTCGTACTTAAATACGAGAAAACGAATATGCCCGTTTTACCCAAAGAAAACACGGAAGGCATCCGTACGAGAAGCCAGCGCCAGCAAGAGGCTGACCAGAAGCGATTTGGCCTACACACACACAACTGCCTACATTGGAGGATCAGCCAGCAATGGAAGAACAGCTGCAGCGAGACAAGGAGGAGCAGGTCCGCCGTCAGGAGGAGCAGCAGCGACAATATCCCAGTCCGGGTATCGAACCCGAGTCCATCAGTCCATGAGACTGCAGTCGTGCACCGTACTATACTAAGGCGGCGCTTTTCAAAGTCGGTACCAGCTAGTTATCCACATCTACCCATTACATATAACACTATGCATTCGTCAGAATCTCATAGTAGCTTCACTAAGCGTAAATATAAGAGTATCTGTTCCACTTAGGTGAGTATTGTTTGTAAATATAAGCGTAAGCTGTCTTGTTTACAAACGCCATGTTTACACTGTTTACAAGCCATTTTACATTAATACAATGACATTCCTTACATGTGACCTGATACCTTATTGTTATTTGAACAATTGTTTTGTAACTTGTTATAAACAATACCATCTCAGCCATCATACAAAATATTTGGATTCATACATACCAGAAATACAGTGTAAGTGACAATTGCAAATTCTAATGAATTTATTTATGTAATCTAAGATGGCAAAAAACTGCCAATATGCGCCTTACATATAATGATCAAAACAGAATAGATTAACATAAAAATAATGTTCTAACAAAAAAACAAAAAGGAAATATCTACGACCTGGAAATCGAACCTAAGACCATCGAGTAACTTACGAATAAAAAGATCCACATGCCACTTACTTTATCGCGCTAAAATTAGGCAAATTATGATAAATTATAAAAAGCTCTAATTTTGAACCCATTATTTTTCATCTTTAGAGGTGGAGTTCCAGACATCGGAAGCAAAGAATATCCAGACTCGAGAAATAGTTGTCTTGAGTCTGGGTGTTTGTATTGATCACACAATATTAGGTCCCGTGTAGGAATCGAACTCACAACACTCGTAGTGGCTTAGTAGCAAACCGATCACTTCAACCATTTCGACATTGAATACAACCAATTCAATTAAATATTATTGAAATCGGCTCATAAGTAACGATATCGTGTAATAGACATACAAAAAAATATCTGTCGAATTGAGAACCTCCTCCTTTTGCAGTCATACTAAAAAGTACTACTTTAGGTACTACATAGCGATGGAGAAGTAGTAATCAAGCGGTTACAGGTTCGAACTTGATTAATTCGTTCTTTAACACACTATCGAGCTTAGTTGAACCTGCTATCTAGAATACTAGCAACATTACTCAGAATACTCCTTCCAATGGAGTCTTGAAGAACGCGCTTATAATACCTAGTACTTCAGATATTACAAATGCGAAATTGCCAATGTTTAAAATGAATAATTTGATAGCCATTCAGTAATAAGAATTTTACCTACAAATTCGATCTGTTAATTTTTTTGAAGATGGTAACTAATTTTAATATTCGCACGCGTTATATAAAACCTCCGCATGGTGGCATACTCGCGCACGGTTCCCAGAAGGCTGGCAGCCACGTTGAACAGCAACGTTAATTTTCTGAGCTAGAAAAAGGACCGTCTTCTGGTCACAATTCTTTATAAACAGAACGACCACTCTGACCTCGTTACCGCGGCATTACCGATTAGCATTAAGTTTTACGCTGCTTATTGTTACTTATTAATCTTGAATGCAATCCCAAACTAAAAGAACATGATGTTACTACAGCTAAGTATGAGGATGACGTTCATATTACATAAATATACATTTCTATAGAACGTACCTACCATTTTGACATTTGATAAGTACCAAATTGAATATAATCCTTGTGGTAATTTTATCACTATGACATATTTCGTCAAATGTCAACGGCTATAAAAAACATTTGACAGTAGTGAATATTCCATTGGTGACTCACTTACTTAACCGGACCTCAGCGTCCATGCAACATAATGAAGTATCATGTATCAAAAATTATTTTGAGCAAAGAATTTATTCAATTTATTAATAATGCACTGTAATGATAACGTTTCAAGCCGGTTATGAGGATTTATGATTATAATGATAATGCATCTGAGAAACCTGTAGTATTAAGCTTTTTACAACAATACCAATTATGTACATACCTAGACATTACATGTTTGTGTGTGTAAATACTCGGTAATATAACATATAATACAACGAAACATGAAATTTCATGAAAAGCACGGTTCTTGGGATCCGAAGATGGCGCCGTTTAATTATGTTGCAAGTGTCGCGTCGTCTTCGGTAAAAAATATTGCTTTTTTTATGCCTTTGCAGCAGACGACTTAGGCTTGCCTCAATTAGATGATTCAGAATGTAGCTGCAGGAATGTGTGAAGGTGTGGTTTAGATCTGGGATACGTTTGTTTATTTTATATATGTATACGTATATATATATATTATATGTTATATTTAAACAATAATTGAGTGTAACTAAAACCGTACAGCATAAAAACTGATAGTTCTTTGTGTAAGTATGTTAACTATTTGATCAAGTTTTTTATGGTAATAAGATTGGCTACTCTTCGCCGGTCTATCCGCATTCGATATGGCTTAAATTGATAAATGTGAGATATTTCTACCTATTTCATTTCAAAGGAACTTCGTTTAATTATTTAAAAAAAATAATTAAACGAAGATCATTAGTTTGATATTAAGGTGATAAAAACAGCACCACACAAAGCCCCATGATGATTTCATTTTAACCCCGCTAGTAGACGTTATCACTTTTAACCTAAATAACACATGCGATAAGAAAGTGTTGGTAAGGGATAAGGGTCTTGTGGGAACTCATATCTTTTTTATTTCGTTCTAATTTAAGAAATATAGTCGTGGAGTGTGAAAATTCCAAGTCAACCTACAAAACTCGCATCCCATACCCTTAATTTATACTAAATCAACAGGCACAAGATTATTACAACTAAAAACTTATGAAGTAAGGTTGTCTTGAAATATTTTATAATATATTTCATTCATGGAATCGTAATTACCACCACACATGCACTTACATGGAACATTACTTGAGTTATTTTTCATTCTTCAGATACCATTTACTAGTGTAAATTTATTCTAGAAATTTAAATTACGAAATACATTAAAAAACCACACTCATTTGAATGTTAATTCTATTTTTTAACGTAAATAATTCTGTGAACAGTCAGCAAGAACGCTTTGAATACATCTATACTAAACTTAAACTAAATAAGGAGTTTTTGTTGATTTGTCATACTTTACCCGTGAAAATATTGCTGTGAATAATTATCGCCTGTGAATGGTCTAAAATATAGAGCCGTGTTGTTTCTTAGTCAAAAGATAAAATATGATAACCAAGAATACCCAAGGAAATGGGCAGAAAGGTCACAGCATATAATTTATGCAGGGAGTGGATACAAATCGCAACGATCCCAAATAATTATAGGAAGAAAAGAGAGATGTTTATGTGTCGCTATTCGCTAAAGTATGTATATATACATTTTTTAACATATTAACTATTGTATATAACCCAATATCAACCCAAAATAAAATAATAACTTATGCTTCTTATCTATATACTAAATTAAAAAAAGAACATACTTTCTCTAAAGATAAAAACAATTGCACACACATTTTCATGGTAGAGTTGCAGATGTAATTAAATGCATTCTACGATGTGAGTTATCATCAAACAAAATCTTTTGTGCACAGATATTTCACCCACGCAATGCAATTATATGCAAGTAGAGCCTATCATTATATTTTACATAAAGTTACCTGTAAAGATACGACGAATATTGTAGCCTGTACCTATGCTTTTTTTCTAAATTTTGGATTACATTACATTATTATTTTAATCTGGTAGGTAGAAATTAACCATTTCATACCTGCAACTTCTCAAATCCAAAGTTATCCAACTTCATTGTTAGGCAGTTTAGATAGTCGCTTAACACACTCATGTATAACTTAATTTTACACTAAATTCATCACTCTACTAAAACACTCACTACTATTCACAACACTATTAATAAAAAAGAAACAATACACAGACAACATTAAAAATATTTGATCGAAACGCTTTTTGAATTAAAAATTAGCATGTAAAAAAGGCTGTATTGTAGAGGCGTCCACCGATGACGCCGTCTCGCGCCATATGAGATTACAGAACAGCCTTCTCGTATCGAAATCAGAAGGTACCAAATTCTTTATATTACAGACTAGAAATGAACTCTATTCATGTTAATTGCCGTAACTAGCACTCGTTTTCCAAACTTGGTCGAGTAAACATCCATAAAGCTGGAAAACGGTGTACTTACTGCTATGCAAATTAAGGTTTTATTTACACATAAGTTAGTGCACGGCCGCGTAGCCGAGGAGAGTATTGACCAAACATTGAGAGAAGTTCTTGTTTTAAATAAAAATGAGTTTAAATGACTTTTCCGTAAATTAAAGAACACATTGTATACTTATTATCATTATTTTTAGTTTGTATTGTAAAAGACTAAACTTGATTCGGTATATTTATTTTTTAGGTTAAACATAATTTGTCTGTGTAGAAATCGTCATTACAGCAGCCACTTATTCTTTTACGAGACTAATTCATGAACTTTAATTTTAGATGAAAAGTAAGCCACAGGTTTTAATGCGGTTTTCACCAATAGAGAGAGTGATTCAAGACGAAGGTTATATGTATAATATGTATGTTGTTGTTGCTGTTGTTGTATGCATATTTTAGTAGAGAAAATCCGAGATTTTCAAAGATTTGTCGTGAGAAACATGGTTTTTCCTTTACGAGATAGACAAAAATATTGTAGTACGGAATTGTATATCTTCAAAAGACCTATAAAAATAACCCACAGTAACCATTTTTATCTTTTACATATTGAAAAAAGGGTTATTTGCGAAGCTAGTTTAACAATAAAATTATTATTCCTTATCCAATTAAATACCTTAGACACGTTGTGCATTTAATGTAGATTAAAATTGCTCATTACAGCATATCATTAAAATGAATATTTAAGAAGACATCAGAGGTTTAAAATGCTGGGGCAACTGGTAAAGTGGCCGTCGCCGAGTCGCCGCGTCGCGTCGGGCCGTAGCCGTACGTCCGTCTCGAGTGGCAGCTGAGCCGGCCTATAAATATTGCATGTAAAGATGTCCTGTAGTATATTCCTCTCAAATTAATAGTAAAATTAATTCCTCCATACTGACACAAAATTATTAGTAGTATCTACATTGCACACGTGCGAGGCGGGGGCGGATCGCTAGTTAATATATAAACTACAGGAATCTTTAACTAAATTAAGATTGAAATTGACAAAACTTGGTTTTTAAATCAACTCGATTTGCCAAACGATACAAGCTTAACTCAACAATAAATCAATTAATTCACAAATATCTGTCTTTCTTCTATTTGCAATTAGTCAAAATTTATTTTAAATAGAGTGTTGGAATGGAGACCATGGGACCAGAAAAGACCTCGAGGGCGACCACAGATGAGATGGAAGGATGACATCAAAAAGGTGGCGGGCAGCAACTGGATCCTAATTGCCCAAGACAGAGGAAAGTGGAGAGGATTAAAGGAGGCCTACACCAAATATTTGGTCGATTAAGGCTAAAGAAGAAGAAGAACAATCTTACGCTAAATTTTACCTATTTCTTAGTGTTACAAGAAAAACTTTTATTTTCCTTTTTTTCTTCCAATTCAAAGATATTTTATATATAAAGTTACTTTTTCCACTTAGGGGTAATTTTTTTCAACAATTTTCACTATTTATGCACTATTTCACATTTGCTGGTTCGGATTTTCTGAAAAAATACTAAGCCAATTTTCATGATTGTTTTACAACCGTATTCCACACACTTTTACAAATTTTTAGATAATACAAGACATGACTACATGAAAATGTTAATCTACACATTAATCATTATTATTTTTTACACACTTGCGTCATAAAGCTCCTCCGCATTATCGCCTACTGGCAAGGAACGTGGGAACGTTGAATAGCAATGTTAATTGTGTTTGCAAAGTATAATCAACTAGATTTTGCCCGCGACTTTGTCCGCGTCTAAAGTTACTTTGGCTAACGCCGAGCTATTTCCGTTTAAGTAGCGCACGCAGCAGAAGCTCTCAAAAGGAAAAAATAACCCTCGATTTTGAAACATTCTTCATTGGTGCTCCGCTCCTTTTAGTCTTAGTAGCCTATAGCCTTCCTCGATAAATGGGCTATCTAACACTGAAAGAATTTTTCAAATCGGACCAGTAATTCCTGAGATTCGCGCGTTCAATCAAACAAACAAAAAAACTCTTCATCTTTATAATATTAGTATAGATTAGGTATTTTTATTACTGCATCTATGGCTTCACAAAGCCAAACTGAAAGGCTCTGGACCTGGCCACTTACAATAATATAATGAAAAAACAATTATGGAATTCGAAAATGGAACTCTTTGGGAACATGTTACTTTTAAATATGCGAGACTGTCATTTGTTTTTTTATTGTGATGTCCTATCGAAAATTTTGTATCGCTATCAAAATGAATTTAACTCGTGAACATTTTCGTTCAATGATTTTTTCATGATTTTCGTTGCGACTTAAGTCAACAATAGAGTTGCCAGAGACTTCAATTGACATTTAGTAATGAACTACTATGTCGCAGCTCTGTGTATTCGTGGTTTGGAGAATTTAGACGTTTACATGATCATCTCCATGACGAGGTACGTGAAGGTCGGCCGGCGACTGCGGTTACAGACTCTAATATTGACACCGTACGACAACTTATTGAATCTGACAAAAAAACTACCTGTCAGCAAATTCATGCTTTGTTAGGCATTAGAATGAGCCAAGTGCAAAAAATTTTACATGTGCATCTGAAGGTTCGGAAGCTTTGCACTCGATGGATACCACATTACTTAACGGAAGACTAGAAACAACTGCGTGTCCAGTGTTGCCGTAAAATGATAAAATAAGTTTAACGGAGGACAGTCATTGGCTCTCTATAATATCGTGACAGATGACGAAACCTGAGTGTACTGCGGTGGACCCGAAACAAAAAGCCAGTCGGCAGAGTGGGTCTTTCCTTTTGAAGATTCGCCGACAAAAGTTACGAAAAGTGAAGCACTGGTAAAAATTGGTAGCTTCTTTTTTCGGCAACTTAGGACATTACACTACAGTATCACTTGAAGATCAAAGGACAGTGATTGCTGATTGGTACATCAACACTTGCCTACCAGAGTCTTACAAAAGTTTGTGAAAAACGTCCTCGAAGCAATGTCCTCTTTCACCACGATAACGCATCCTCATATTCCGCTAAGGTAACAGAAGCCTATTTGAAGGCTTTAAATGTGAAACTTATCCGCCTTACAGCCCCGACCTCGCACCCTGCGAATAACTTTTTTTTTATATTAAAGACAAACTTAGAGGCACACGTTTTACGAGCCCTGAATCGGCGGTGAATGCGTTCCATGAAGCCATTGAAGAGGTCCCTAAGGAAGACTGGTCCAACTGCTTTGTACAGTGGTTTCAGCGAAAGCAAAAATGCATTAATTGCGAGATAATATACCTTGAAAAACAATAAATGTATCGTAAGTCTCACATCTTGTATAATTTATCAGAATCCAGAAACTTTCAGTATGCCCTAAGTACCTAACTGGAAATCTAGAGTATCTCTACACAATAATAATAACACACCTCTACACACCTAATCTACACACAAGTAATCTCTACACACCTATACCTTCTGCCTACAGTATTCGAGAGTCACAAAACTCTACATTTTTTTGTTACGGTAGAAGAGTAGTCACCTGATGATAAGAAACTTCGGTCGACTATGAACACCTGCCATTCAGGAGTTCAAGAGTTGCAGGGTGGCGATGGGTGGAGGGAGGGAGTTTGGTTTAAGTTAGAAAGATCCTACCTAGAGTTTCGAGGTTACTGAAACGGTAAACTCAATGCCGTCTTATTTTACAACTAATCAACCCAATGTCGATTGATATACTCTGAGGGGCGTAGTTTCATACAAGAAATAACGATAATATTCCCAATATATCACGTGACATGGCCAATAGAATTCCAGTGACACAGACATTGTAATTCACAAAGCTCTAGTGTCGACTTCACAGTAAGCTGTAGATATTCAACCACATCATTATTCAGACAGCGATTCGTATACCAGTGTTACAAAAACTACAAATGTCACATCTGTGAACATAAACTCCCATGACCTTTGTTACGACGTGACAAGGTGCAATATTAAGTTAAAAAACTGTACTCTGGAACGCTGCAAAAGAAACAATGGACATTCTATCCGAACCGCAGTCAGTAACGCTATTTGACACTTTCAAGTTATTTCACTCTTATTTCCGTTAGCTAAGGTTCAAATTTTAAGACTAATATATCAGGCACATATCCTAGAATGGGTAATAATATCCCCATTATGATGCGTCGCAGTGCCTATAGACAATGTATTATTGAATATCAAGTATGTATAAGTATTTGCTATAAAAGCGGATAAGTATAATTTAGACGTTCTAATATAGGTACTTAGTATGCTGTTCGAAATAAGGGGGACGTAAAGTTGAGAATAAATGGCGTTTCTCTAAATTAAAATGGGAGTTACCGTACGCATCTAATGTAAGGCAGTTTTTTTAACAGTAATAACGCAGAGATTTTAATCATTCCGCTAAATTGCCTGAGCTTGCGAGGTATTTCATTAATTAGGTTGGTAGATCTGTTGATTAGTCATCTCGTGAGAGTAGGCAAGCAGATATTCCTTCATATTAAACTAGCTTTTGCCCGCGTGTATGTCGGTTATCGTGGTAAAAAGCTATATCCTTATATCCTATAGCTATTCTATAGCCTATGTCCTTCCTCAAGAATCAAACTATCTCCATACCAAATTTCATCTAAACCAGTTCAGCGATTTTTAACTCCCTATACAAACTTCCACCCCCTTAAAGGATGATTTCTGCGACAAGAACTATCCTACGTCTTTTCCCAGGACTCAAATTGTCCCTATATCAAATTTCATCGAAATCGGTTCAGCGATTTAAGCGTGAAGAGTGACAGACAGACACACTTTCGCATTTATAATATTAGTATAGATCTGATAACAATTAATTGACTTAGTAAATTTTTGAGGCTATGTTGATCATTGGTTTGATTTTTTTAAATCAAGATAATTAAGAAGAAAATACTAATTACAATTAAAAAAAAACAATATTTATTTTTTCCCGTCACAAAAGATGCATTCTTTTCTTTGTTGTTCAAAAATGCCCAATGCGCCTTAACAAGTTTTCACTCCAAAAATATTAGTCTTTTCAATACCAGTGTGCTTATGATTACTTTAGCATTGTTGGATCGATGAATAGGGGGACTAACAAGCAGACAGGTCACCTGATGGTAAGTGACTACCGCCACCCGTGGACCTGCACCTCAAGAGTCAAAAAGTGTGTCTCCATCCCTCCAAGAATCAGGGGAGGAGAGTTTGGGCTCCGGTAACCTCAGTCACTTGGTCAACAGCAATTAAGAAATGCTTAACCAGTTTTCTGTAAGGCCATGGTACAAGTATTCCAGGAGAAACTAAAGCTTTTAATTCAACACAACACCTACTGAGTAAATCTTATTTTCAAAAGTTTTTTATTGATTAAATTTACAAAACCACTGATCTTTACTTCATTTATAGTACATAGCAGACATCGAAATTATTGCTACTTTTAAATATTGTTAATTTCATGAAATGATTGTTTTTAGTCACAGCAATTTCAAATGGGATTGTGATTTTGTCATAGACAACGATGAATAGCATTACCACAATTTTTTTTATGCACTAGGGTAATAATAACAATAGAGTAGCAGTGGTTTTGTAAATCAGTCAGGTGTGATTAAATGATTTAGAATTATTCTAAAATTATTTTAAAAAAACGCATGCAAGGCTTTTATACTATTATGAAACATCAAAAGCTAAGCTTTAATGTACTGTACATTAAGGTTATGATAAATAAAACAGAGAATTTTTGTCAACATTGTTTAATATCAGCAGATATTTTAATTACATAGATTAATTACATACAGAAATACCAAATCAGTACATTTTATGTTTGTTAAGAATATCCAGGTATTGTAGATAAATTGGTGCCCTTAAAATTTAATAAGTCATCAGGATTAGTTTTTAATTTATCAATTAATATATGCTTATTAAATTTTATCTCATTAGTATACTCTGCTCTGAGTAACCTTATTTTGTCGAAAATCCTATTCCGATATGTGTCTTCTATGTCAGGATCCTGTAGCAGTTCCCTTAATTCCTGTAAAGTTTCCGGTAACCCCAATTCAGCATCCTGATATTCAACTGCAATATTTTGGTGTATTGATGGTGCACTATTCACATTCCTTGTATTTTGGACACAAATGTGCTTATCTGATACATCTACTGTTGATTGCCGACCTTCATCATCAAACACTATTTTCTTTTTAGGTTTACAGTTACACTCGTCTTCATAACTTTCCGAATGAACATTTTGTTTCATACGACATAGACTAAAACCCTCCTCACTGTCTAAATTCAACAAGTGTCCATATTTAGATTCAATTCTTTTCATAACCTCTTTGCACTTCGCGTATACTGTTTTCAGTTCATTTAAATCACTGGCATCTATTTCCGTACCATTCTGGTTAATGTTATCACTTTCACTAGATGTTGTTGGTATTTCTTGAGTTAGCTTTTGCCTTTTACAGTATTTTCGTTTCTTTATTGTTCCTTGACGTTTTAAAGAGACTAGTGAATTTTTCTCGTCACAGGTAGAGTTAGTTGTGTTTTGCGCTGTATTTGATAGTTCTTTCACATGGTTTTTTACAATAATATATGATTTCTGCTCTAAAAGTGGCTTTCTAATTATAGCTACTTCCACCGGTTTCTCTCTGTCTTCGTGTACAACCATCATTGATAAACTTTGTAATTAACTTATTATGGTGACAATGAATGGTTTTTAATGGTTAAATATCAACAATTATTTTACATTTTATACTAAAACATGTGGTCGCAAAACACTTGGACTGTTTGACACTGACAGAGTAGTGACGCGCAGTGACTGAGTGACGCGCACAGCGCCGCCATTTTGAGTATTCGCTTCTACTCGGCGTGAGTCAGCCATAATCGACTATTTCACAACGGCAATTTTACGCTTGTTATGAATTAATTACAAGTACAAATGTACCACTTGATAAAAAAATCTTATTATAACACATTAATAATTGTTTAAACACCACAGAATTTTGAAATAATTGAAATGACTCGAGAATAAGTTGAACTCTAAAGAAGCAGTTAATCAGCAGTCTAATAATGAATAAAGGAGGATTAAAAATTAATAGCACTAGTAACTTATTATATTACTATTATTCTATTTAATACGCTCTAAGTGGGTTTATTTCAGAAGTGCACGTTTTGAAATACAAGTACATAATTAATTTAAAGACCGTTGTATTAATCACTTAAACCGCCCATTTTCAAGGGTTGTGGAGGTTAATGGGGAGTTTGTATGCCACCTTAGTTGCACAAAATATTAAATTCCTTCATTTATAAAATTCATTATATGAAAAGAATATTTCTTAGGACACATTTAATACTATGCATGCATACATAATATCTTAGCTAAATGAAACATCGCTTAGTTTTGTTACTTAATTTTATTACTTTTTCTACTCGTGTTACTAATGGTTAATGTGGTGACACCTTAATATGCTGTGCATTTAAGCTAGTTGTTACTAAATTTATGATTTATTATGTATGAGATTTAATGTAATAGCAACTGCTTGTCCTTAGTAAATAATAAAATCATTAGCATTGCCAATAAGCGATATAAATGTATATTTATAAAAATATTTTAATATGTATATTTTATTTCATGTTTGTGGTCAATATTTATTTTAAAGTTGACTTTAAAATTAAAACTTAACATTTCAATAAATTTTAACAACCTAATAATTATCCGTCCTAGTGATTTGAAGGGCCTGATGTTCTTGTGGTTAGCGATCCTGACTGCTGAGCCAGAGCTTATAGGTTCAATTCCCACCCGGGACTAATAGTTGTATGATGAACACAATCATTTGTTCTATGTCTGAGTGTAATTTATCTATAGAATTTATGTATTTATAAATAAATATAAAGGTGTTTAGTGAGTAGTCTTCTTACCATAGGGCTACGCTAAGTTTTAATCAGACTGCCATGTGTAATGTGTGAAGTAATGAAAAACAAATTACAGCTAGTCCTAGTGATATCAGTATCAGATAGCATACTTGAAGTCAAAGGCAAGGAACATACAACAACGTGAAAATATAAAGTTTTATTCATTGACAACATCCCTATTTTTTCGTTTCTTTTTCTTTTTGGGCACATACTCATCAGTGGTGTGTTCTTCAACAACTTCCATTTGTTTGTTAGATTCTTCAGTATTGTTTTTCAATATAAGCTCATCGGGGTTTTTTTTCTTTTTTGACTTCTTTTCTTTTTTTATTATAACTTCACTATTATCCTGACTAATGTTACTATGATCACATTCATCATTTTGTACATTATCAAGTTGTGGTTGCTCATCATCTAAATGTTTTTGCTTCTTCTTCTTTTTCTTACTCTTCTTTACATTTTCAACATTGTCATCAACCAAGTTTCCTTCTATACTTTCTTTAGACTTATAACAAGAAAATCCCTGAAATTGATATTCTTGATCTTTTTCAGTGCCCCCATCATCATTTCGTGTTCCAGAAAACCCTGTGAAGCCACAATCACTTCTATCTTCATTATTTAAGCTATTACAGTTTTTGTTGACATTATTATTAGACTTAAAAGATGCTAATTTATTTTTAAAATAATCGACCATGCTGCCTTTATCTTTAAACACTTGTTCCGTAGGTACAACATCTTCTTTTAAAATATCGTCTTGTTTATCTTCTTTCCTTAAGCTCTTTTTTCCAAAAATATTTGCTAAATCCTTTTCACTGTAGCGAGTAAGATCTTTACCTCGAGTGAACTTGTGATAATGAACCCGAGCCTTACTTTTCTTTGATTTGACCTCAAGAGATACACCACTGTGAAGCTTTTCATCATTATTATCACCTGAAACCACAATTTTTAAATATAATTAGTAAGAATGTAATAAACAGCTCTCAAACTATTTTTATCTCAACTCCATTAGGTACTAGAAATTAAAGTTTTACTGTCTATGAATACAAATACATATTAAAAATACTTTTGTTATACTTCAACATATTCAAACTAGGAAAAACTACTACCTATCTGTAATGTTATACTGTTTGAAGTGTGGATACTTACTATTGGACAAATTGGCTAATAACGAATTAAAATCGTCTTCATGCTTTGTCCACTGATCATTTTTATCTTCAAAACCCAGTCCTTTTTCATCATTCTTGTATCTAGCTACTACATGCTCCACAATACCATTTTCTTTAGCTCCTAACCCCTTGCCTTCGCTCCAACCCATCTTTTCCAACATTCGCTGACCGAATTTATTTGAATCATTGCTCCAAGCGTTGTTTTTAGCACGTAAATTAATCACTTTTTGTTTGCGACGGGGTGCTGCTAACATAGCCATGATTAGAAAATATCAAAAAAACATTATTATGTGCCCACGTGAAACGTTTGTCAAAAAGACAAGATGGACGACCGCGACCGGCGGACCGGCGACAACTTCAGCATGGGTGTTGCCACTTAAAATTAGAAAACCTACCAGTTACCGATGAAATTACTGACAAACGTTTCTACTACAAATAGTAGCGAGATTTAAAATTATATTAAATTATAAAACAAAACAACAAATACTTCCGTAATAATTTACCTTACACTACCATATATTAACAAAGCAATACAAGTGAAAGTTAGCCTCTTTCGAGTACATACTTTTAAGGAAAAATAAGTGAAAAAAGAAAAAAAAAGTTTGAAATTGCTTGAAAAATGTGTTTTTTTTTTTTCAAGCACACATTTTTTCAAGAACTTTTTACGTGTTGGTTGTTACGATTCTCGGACGAATCCATATATATGGTAACATTTACGAGCACCCGATTGGACCGTAGTCGGAAGTGAAGTTCGTTCGATCGGTATTTGCCATTATGTTGAGTTTTATATCAACTTTCCTTAACATATAAGTTTTAAAAGATTCTGATTGTGGCGAGTCTGGCGCTAGCGTAATAATAATAATAAGTCGCAATGGTCTTGTAAAGTCAAAGGTGTGATTATTTGATTTATCTATACAAATAAATAAAATTGAAGTCTTTGTATATAATGTCAAAATTATGGGTTTATTTCATGATCCCACGGTTATTTGCATGATACCTATGCCTAAAAACCAGTACAACTTTTTTGTCCGTCTGTTTGCTCGGGTAATCTTCTAAACGGATGGACCGATTTCGATAACTTTTACTACTAGGTAGCTGTCTACATAAGGAATAACTTAGGCCATTTTTATTCACAGAAAAACCCTTTAAAATTTTGCCCAGTCCGGGCATCGAACCCACTAAGGCACCACTTTTCAAATTCCACGCAAACGAAGTCGCGGGTACCAGCTAGTAAATCATATGATTATTAACAGGTGATTGTGATTTTATTCCACCCCTAATGGTTACGTACAAGTATTATACGACGTTTAATAGTATCTTCCACGAGTTGTTTTTTTTATAAAGACAACTGGGAATTAACGCATTAGAAATGTATCCTGTGTCGCGGGGGACTTTATAAACATACATGAAACAGACATAAAGAACACCCAGACTCAGAACAACAATTTCTAAATCACACAACGTGTCGTCCCATGTGGGGATCGAACCCACAACACTCAGCATAGTAGGAAACGGCGTGGCGACCGCTTAAACCACTACGACATCCGTGCAATATTAAACATCATAAGTACCATGACGTACATTTTTAATATATATTGTAAATAAATTTATGTCCATAAAGAACTGGTTGGATAGTATTACAAGACATAGCTATTAGGTATATCAATTACAGCACTGTCCTTGTTCCGTCGGCATATGTCACTCAAACATTATCTGTTACGTCTTCATAAGACTAGAACGTCATGGTAAAGTAAACTGACACACAGTGCAAGAAATACCTAGTTGTTTATAGTATTTCGCTTGCAAACAACCACCGAAAATTGTAATAGAAAGTTCTCGTTGCTGACGATTATGAAATAAAAGAAATAAAAGTCTGTTTTTTGTAGCAAAATAAATCTTGAAGGTGGCAAAATATGGACATCAATTTTACTTGTGAAGTTTATTTTGAATGTATTTTGGTTGATACAAGAGCTTAGAAAAGGACATTTGCTACAAGAGCATGAAAAAAAACTTATTCTTTTGGCATTACAAACAGACTCTTTAATTTTATTTATTTGTATAGATTAATTGGCAAACATTAAAATTAAAAATAAGAATATCTTTCCTATAACATGATGTGACACTTCTGTGATTGTTATTAAAAGCTTTGGAGGCAGGTGGAATAAATAGATTTAGGTCTCAGTCATCGCAAGTTACCTACAAGAAACGAAAACTTAACATGAGTTTGGCAGCTACCAGTAGTCAATCTTATAAACCAAACTTTAAGCCAGTTTCTTAAATTCATAAAAAAAGAGAGTAACCCATTGACCTATCGTGATAAAACCAAGTAAAATTGATATCCGAGAAAAATCGTAATGTTATTGACCATAAAACAAAATCACTTTGTTTTTAATTTTAAACTGATCGCGACATGCACGCGATACGGCTGTTACGTCACGATTTTGTGCGAACGTGATGAGGTGATGAACAATACAAGTTTTTCTGTTCAAATTTAACATCGTGATGGGAATTTGACGAAATGTAACAACCGTATTAAGTGGTAATACAACGGATACTTAAACTTTACTCAACATAGTCAGTTCTCACCTTTGAAACATTTAACTTACTTTGGTTACCGCATATTATGTCTATAATAGTTTATAATATACGTAATTTAGTAGTCCATGTATATTCATTCCAATGTCGGGCCTGGTAGTGTAGTGGTTAGTGATCCTGGGTGCTATAAGCCAGAGATCGATGGTTCAAATCCCACCCAGTACAAATAATTGTGTGATTAGCAATATCATTTGTCTGGGTTTATTTTATCTATAAAATGTATGTATATACATATTTAGAAATACATAAGTAGGTATGTCTGGCAATCATAGTACAGGCACTGCCTAGTTCGAGATTAGAGCCGTATAATGTAAAAAATAATAATTAAAAAGAAAAAAATGTATTATTGAGAATGCACGAAAAGCTTTGCACATAATCCCCTTTTAATTTTCGCCGACAAAGTTATGGAAGCTGATTTGACTTATCAAGTAAATATATTGTAGCTTCTATCTATAGTGAATTTACTTCATCGTCGATTTTGCCCAGCGTGATTTTGACAGGTGCGAGCTGAAGACCGGTTTATAAGAAAGTAAAAGTGGTAGCAGTTTTTGACTTTTTATTCACATATTACGCGTTTGTCACTGTTTCGTGTAATTCTTTAATGAGTAAGAAGTGTGTGAGTTTCAGATTGTCTTTGTTATTTAGAATGGTTATCTTTGGTATTCCTTAATAAGCTTTCTTTACATTGAAAAAAGTTATTTTAGGGCCACTTTTGTTAGTATTAAAGAGGTAAAGTAGCACTTTTTTTTTGTTGATGAGGCGGCACCGCGCGGTAATTCATATCAGGTTAGCAGTGACGTTTATTATGTTTAGTACCTAAGATAATTAATACGGAGAGTGTCTATATAGCTTTTAACTTATTATACTTTCTGTCAAAAATTGATGGCCAGGATATGAACGAAACTTCGAAAAAAATTACAAGTCAATTGTTTCAATGTAAATATCGTTGTATTACTTTTCACGCCATTTCGTGAAAGAGAAAATTTATTTAAGTATTAAGTTTTTTATTGTCAAGACTTTTTTTAATTTTTTTTAACATATTTTTAGTTTATTTTATTGAATAAAACACACTAGAAGGACTACTAAAGAAGACCAGTCAATGAACTTTCACTATACATAATGATCTGTATTAGATACATCTACATATAATTAATACTAGCTTTTTGACGACTGATAGAGTAGAATGGAAGAATCATATTTACTGCGCCGACCTCAAATAAAATAGGGATAAGGGTAGGCAGATTGTGAACGATAGGAAGGGTTATCGTGGTAAAAAGTATCCTATGTTACTCTCTGATTATGAAGCTTTCCATTGGCGAAACAATTTTTAAAGTAGGTTTAGTAGGCACAAACAAACTCACGTTTATAATATAAGTATGGAAGTGTGGATTATAATTATTTGTAACGAATTCTTAGAAAATGTTGCCAATAGATGAATGTACAATTTGGAGTACTTACCTAAGAGTTGATGTATAGAAAAAGTTCAGAATGTTTATCTAATCAATCTGTCTTACATATTTTAAATTTAGGAGAAAAGTACTACTTCCAGGTGGTATGATGATATGTAAATATCATCCAGCATGTATATTTTGACTTCACAACATGCACTGGAACTTAACAATCCCGACTGTCATTTGTTTGCGGATGGATGGCTGAATAAAATGTTAGTATGCTTGCGGTTCTGTGAGCAGGACGGATGATTTTTGTTTTGTTTATATTTTATCTTTGTTGTCATTTGTGTTGATGTATGGTCTTTAATTATTGTTATTGGTAAACTGTTATAATTAAAGTAAATAGAAAATATACATATGTATGTAAAACCACCAATGACCAAGGATTCACCTTAGATCGTTCGTTCATGATTCGTTCGTTCGTTAATGTCTATGAACACTCTGAACTTTATTAGTTCAATTTTAGACGTTGTTAATTCAGTAGAAAAATAAAAATGTAGGTTGGTATTACTATCAGGTCCCCATAGTTTCACCTGCGGTTATTTGCAGTCCTGCGGTTCTTAATATCTTACTTCGATATTAACAAGCCTACACACCTGTTGGGATATCAAACATAAAAATGATACTTAGATTAGATTCAGATATTAGTGCGTTTGACCAAAACAAAACTGTAACGTTAGTATTATTCCTTTGCTCTTACGTAGGTGTATTAATAAGTTTAAATAGGTACCTTTTTTTAAAGATTAAAGACAAGATTGAAATGAGTGAAATTGCGAAATTATCACACTTTTACTGCATTTACAAAATTTCAGTCGACAGAATTATTGGCACAGGGATGTAGTTTTGAAAAACAATGTTTAATATTAACATTCGATAAATAAAATTGTCGTTCTAGAAGTAAACGACACAGCTAATCTATCTAATTTTGCTAAACCTACGGCACATTGCGAGAATAGTACTTTTTTTTAATAAATCACAAAATATGATTCAAGACATACACCATCAATAGAATTAGAAGACTAATACATACTTATCCAGTTTAATGGAATGAAATGTAACCATAAATGGTGGAATATTTTCTACCGACACCGTCTCGCTTAACCAGACATGGCATGAAAGCTGCGGTGAGAAGCATTCCTATGAAAACGAGTGTAAATAAGTGGATAGTCAAAGTTACCATCATTAACTTGCTGTCTACCTATTAAAACGGGAGT